AGAGAGGAGAAGAGGAGAGAGAGAGAGAGATAGAGAGAGAGAGATACATAGCAGTTATATTTTTTATATATTATGAGTATACGATATATATATAGTATATATATATATTATATATAGTTAATGATGATCCATGGTTCTCTCTCTGCGCTCTGCTTCTCTCTCTTCTCCTCGTCGTCTCTCTAAGATCTGCTCTCTCTCTCACTCTCTCGTGTCTCTCTCTATATAATAAGTATTTTTAATACGTATTATGTATTTATATATATCAGTACATAGCTATATACATATATAATGATATTTATATATACATATATATATATTATTATATATAAATATATATTAGGATAAATATATATACTGATATATACATATAATATGTATGGCTATGAATACAGTTATACATATATATGGGCTATATATTATATTTTTATATATATTAGTATACTTTATTAATTATATACATATACTATACATTATGTTTTTTATAATATATATGTTATTATAGTTTATATATGTAATATATAATATATATTAATATAATAGGTTAATATACAGTGTATAATATATATATTATTATATGTATATTATATATAAATTTAAATAATTATATATATTTATATATTATACTTTATATATATATATATATATTTATAATTTTATCATATATATATATTATCATATAAGTATATATAATATATTTAATATTATAATATATATATTTATTTATGTATACAAATTGTCTCCTGGCTGGTCTTACTTGAATCGTGTACGTGTAGGGGTCCCACGTCACCGCCCAGCGACTCAGCGCCGAGCCGTCATTAGGATGGCGCGGGGAACAGGCCTGAAACGAGGAATTTCTTGATTGACTGAAAATTTCAATTCTTGCTTGTAATTTTGTTTACGAACGGAAATGGAAAACGACGGACTATCGAATTTCCTTGGTAAAACATTTTCACTCTCTTCCTTTTTCGTTCGCGATCTCCTCCGTCGCCCTGGTTCCTGAGGACCTCAAACCGGCGGCAGGCAAGGACGCATCACCTCGCTTCGCGACGGGCGAGATGAGCAACAGTTGGCGAGGGCGGCGCCCGTGCCGTGGCCCACGATGGTCACTTTGTCGGGATCGCCACCGAAGTTGCCGATGTTCTCCTTGACCCAGTGCGCGCGCGATCTGGCTCGAGTAGCCCGAAGTTGCCTCACCTGCTTCTCGCTCATGGCCGGCCGGAGAGCCTGCGGACGGAGGTTGGAGATGATGGGGCAGACAGGCCTATATGTGTGTTGTGTGTGTCTATATATATATATATATATATATATATATATATATATTAATATTATATATATTTATATATATGATATATATATATATATATGTAGTTTATGCGGAGATTGATTCGATATATAAAAGATGCGTCTGTTGGTTGTAAATGTAAAGATGTGTGTACCAGAATATTTGTTTACGGTTTTTATATATTGAAAGGCATATCATTATAGCAAATTTTGCTGTTATTACAAATATAGTAAATTACAATATCTATATATGAGTTCTTTGTTTAAATGTTAATACTTTAATGGCGGAGCTGGGGTGGGGAAGGCAATATGCCGGATATGGGGCGGATTTCAAAGAGTCTAAAGTTAAGGCGCGCTGGAGGCCTTAACCGTCCTGCGGCAACGTAAGTTACGGGCGGCCTCTCTAGGGCGCCGTATTTTTAAGGCGCCTTATCCCTGCTTCGAAATCCGCAGCGCCGTAAATCACATAAAGCGTCGAATCTTCAGTGGCCAATCACAGTTGCTGTTTCAGGAGGCTCTTAGGGTATCTTGACCAATCACAAGCCATAAATGCCAATCAGATGATTTTGTAAACACAGCCCGTAGCACGATAAAACGTTTTAACTAATACATTCCAGAAGTAAAGCAGAAGAAATGTTCAAAATGCCTAATAAATGGAGTTATTAGTAAATATTGTCATTAACAATGGCAATAGCAAATATGAATAAAACAATCACATCCGGGGCGAAGACAACATTGTTTACAGATCAACACCTAATGTAACCTATCGGGAAATGCAAATTATAGTTATATTTGAATATTACACTTGTTGCCTTATTTAATAGTCCACAATTGGTTCCTGTACACCTAATAACACTATAATTGAGTAAAATACTAATTGTTCTATTGCTGAAAAATGTAATTTATGGTTTGCTATAACTCGATAAGGCTGCTCTCCCCCTGCCTTAACCTAAGGCACTTTAACTCGCACCAATATGGCGAACCCCTTGCTCTGGGTATGGACCGTAGGGTTGCTTGGCCTTAAGTTACAGCGCCTTAAGGAGATACGGCGCCTTAACACGTCTGAGAATCCAGCCCATGGTCACCGTCTGGTCAGACGACGTTTTGCTCTCACCCCATGCCCAGGTATGTTAAGTGCTGGTATTACAATTCGTGTTTTACCCTGATATTATAGATTGTAATGCTTGATAAATGAATTAATATGATTATGGAATCCCAA